CGCAAGTGCACATGGGCGCGTGCTCAAATAACTCTATCTAGCCTGGGCGCACACATATCCAGCGCAAGTGCACATGGGCGCGTGCTCAAATAACTATATTCAGCCTGGGCGCACACGGGCGCGCACTCTAATTGCTATGCCAGACTTGGGCGCGCATGGGCGCACACTCTCAAGCTTGGGTGCGCATGGGCGCGCACTCTAGCTGCAATATCAAGCTTGGGCGCTCATGGGCGCGCACTCTCAAGCTTGGGCGCGCATGGGCACGCACTCTAACAGCAATATCAAGCTTGGGCGCGCATGGGCGTGCACTCTCAAGCTTGGGCGCGCACTCTAACAGCAATATCAAGCTTGGACGCGCATGGGTGCGCACTCTCAAGCTTGGGCGCGCATGGGCGCGCAATATCTGGTCTGGGCGCGCGCAGGCGCGCACTGAAAATAAATATATGATCTAGGCGGGCGCGGGCGCGCACTGAAAAATAATTATCTGGTCCAGGCGCGCGCGGGCGCGCACTGAAAATAATTATCTGATCTGGGCGCGCGCGGGCGCGCACTGAAAATAATTATCTGATTTGGGCGCGCACGGGCGCGCACTAAAAATAATTATCTCATCTGGGCGCGCGCGGGTGCGCACTGAAAATTATTATCTCATCTGGGCGCGCGCGGGCGCGCACTGAAAATAATTGTCAGATCTGGGCGCGCGCTGAAAATAATTGTCAGATCAGGGCGCGCGCGGGCGCGCACTGAAAATAATTATCTAAATTCAATCTTTGCTTGGGGCCAGTATACTACTGCTTGTAATAGGATGGAGTGATTACTGCGCGCAAGACTTGCCCTTCTCTTAGGGCCTGACCACTATTGTCATCAAATGCAGACTAAGTACTCAGTTGAAACAGACACTGGTACCCTGGTTCGGGGTTGGTCATGTATAATCATCACTCGCAACAGCCCACAGCTACAGACAGCTGAAAAATGGCCCTCAGTCATGGTGCGCAACAGCGCACAGTTGCGAATAGCAAAATGATTCTCAGTCATAGTGCGCAACAGCGCACATATGTGAATAGCAAAATGATTCTTAATCTCGGTGCGCAACAGCGCATAGATGCGAATGGCACAATGCTCAGATATGGTCCTGACAATAGCACAATGCTCAGTAGTGGCCCTGACGAATAGCACAATGCTTAGTAATGGCCCTGACGAATAGCGCAATGCTCAGTAATGGCCCTGACGAATAGCGCAATGCTCAGTAATGGCCCTGACAAATAGCACAATGCTCAGTAATGGCCCTGACAAATAGCACATTGCTCAGTAATAGCCCTGACAAATAGCACAATGCTCAGTAATGGCCCTGACAAATAGCACATTGCTCGGTAATGGTTCTGACGAATAGCACAATACTCTGAAATGGCCCTTGCGAAAATGGCACTGTTCGGAAAAGGCTCTTGCGAAATGGCACTGTTCAGAAATAGCACTTGCGAAAATGGTATTGTTCAGAAATAGCACTTGCGCAATGGCACTGTTCAGAAATAGCACTTGCGAAAATGGCACTGTTCAGAAATAGCACTTGCGCAAACGGCACTGTTCAGAAATAGCACTTGCGCAATAGCA